CCCCCCCCTCCAATTAAACATCCAACATAATTTCTCTGTTCTTTTGTGCAAAAATACGGTTTTATGAGATTTGCAAATCATTGCTGCATGTATGTAAACTTGCATGTTATATTCTACCTAAACAATATTGCATTTGGCTAAAATTAGAATAATATAGGCCTGATTTTTGTGTTGTCTTATGCAACAGTTATGGAAGTGACTGGTATGATCACATATTTTGCTGTATCAGCTTCTGAATGTCAGGATTTGCTAACACATTTGTCCATAAATTAAAGGTCTCGGTTTGGCTAAATTGTTCATTGGACTACAAAAAGACTTGTGTTGTTATTATTTACACTACGAGAACAATCCAGAGTCTATTGAGACATTTCTCTGTGAGTAAAAGTTCAAGAGACAGCACAGCACTGTACTTCCTTCAGTTTCCTTCCGTTATAACCTTTAGAACGCACAACTAACAGAAATGCATGAAAACCACACAGACTGTGTACTTGTGCTGTGGCTTAACTTCCTTACTGGGACAAAAAAGTCAGTCCCCAAAAGGTAGATGGTTATATTTCAGGGGGAATATTTATCTTAAGTTTAGGTTTGGAAATATTCAGGATAATAATGTAAGTCATAAGTTAAGTATTGCCCTCTAAAACTTCCTTGTAGGTCTTGTAAGTCTACATGAGTTAAATCACAATGTTTTAGGGTAAGGATTCGGTTTAAACTTTAGTCTAACCCAGCCATGGCCGGGCCACAAGCCAGTGTACTCACTGTTCATAAACTATGTTTGTTGCAGACAATGGAAGAAGAAGAAAGGGGGACGGCATCTTCAGAGGCGAGAGAGAAGGAAAGGCAGGAGTTTGGGGTTGAGAGTCGGGTCTTTAAATGTAGGGACTGTGATCGGCAAAGGAAGAGAACAGGATAACACGATGGAAGGAAGGAAATATAGATATATGACTTGCACAGACCAGATGTAAGAGAAGCAAAGCCAGGAGCAGTGGGGGTAAGTGCATTAAAGGTTGGATTTCAGGTAGAAAAGAAAGGAAATCTGGAGTAAGTTGGGTGATGTAGAAGAAAGTAGGAAGGTGCACACAGGTGGAGTACTTCTACTACAGAAAGTGCAATCCGAAAAACATATGAGACTGCAAGGTGGTGTCGGGGGAGAATGTAGGCAGGAAGTGAGATGAGTTAGTTACTTAGGGATGCAGACTTGAGACTGGAGTAGCCAGGATCGGACCACCAAGGTCCCTGTACACCAGGAGTGTGTAAAATGTTCACCACAACTGTAGAGCAGAAGAGAGGTGATGAACAGTGAGCAGCAGAATGGCTTTGTGCTAAGAAAGTGCACTACAGATGTGATGTTTGCTTTGAGGGTGTTAATAGAGAAGTGTAGAGGAGGTCAGGAGTTGCACTGTGACTGTCTTTGTGGATCTTGAGAAAGAGGAACTGTAGAAATGCACAAGGAAGTCAAGACAGCAAGACAGTGGTGAGATGTCTGGAAGGAGTGCTGGAGGTGTTCAAAGTGGGGGTGGGATTACATCAGGGATTGGCTCTGAGCGCCTTCTTGTTCACAGCGGCAATGGACAGGTTGATGATGATGGCAGCCAGGATGTTTGCAGAGTAGGAAGCAGGTGGAGGAGAGTCTGGAGAGGTGGAGGTATGCACTGGAGAGAAGAGGAATGAAAGTTAGTAAAAGCAAGACAGAACACATATGTGTGAATGAGAGATAGTCCAGTGAAAAGATGAACCTGCAAGGACTACAGAGAGTGACGGTAAATGAGTTTAAATACCCGGGGTCAACCATCAGAACCAACGGACAGCACAAAGATCTGGGTCAGGGCAGATAGCTGCCGCTCCCTGTGCCTAGTTCAGCCGGAGCTTTCTTCCTGTTAAAAACTTTTCCTTCCCACTGTCGCCAAGTGCTTCTCAAAGGAGGAATTTGATTGCTGGGGTTTTCTCAGTATTATTGTAGGGTCTTTGCCTTAAAGACCACAGCTTCTTGAGGTGACTTCTGTTGTGATTTTGGTGCTCTACAAATAAAAGTGAAATGAACTGTATAGAAGAGAGAAACAAAGTGGAGTGGGAGAAGATGAATGTGAAAGGGAAGGTTTACAAGATGGCAGTGAGACCTGCTGCCATGTAGTGTGAGACTGTAGCACTAACAAAAAGATGAGAAGTCAAGCTGGATGTGGCAGAGCTAAAGTTTAAAGTTTTCATCTCAGTATGACCAGGATTAGAAATTAGTACATCGGAGGGACAGTTTAGATTGAGCATTTTGGAGACAGCATTAGAGGCAAGCTTGAGATGGTATGAACATGTGCAGAGGATGGATAGCAGATGTGGAATATGGAGCTCCCTGGCAGGATGGATGGATTAAACTGGTTTTAGTCCACAAAGAGCAATCTGCTCTACCTACATGGTGCTTGATATCTGCCCATCTTATCAGAAATTACATTTGTCACTTGAAGTGGGACTAATTCATGAACAAATATCTGGAATGAAAATTACACTATATCTTTATATAACCTACATCACTGCAGTCGTCACAGCCATCTCTCTTTACACGCATTCATTTTTCATGCTTTGTGTTACTTATTTTTGGATCGTGTAACTGCGTTTCGGCCTCTCTCTGTATCCAGTGGATGGCAGCAGCGAGGGGTATTCTGCTTGTTGTTGATGCTGAGGAAGCTTCTCCTCCACTTCTGCATCTAAAGAGACAAGCACGAACTTCCTGTGTGATCTCCGTTCAGCTGACTTCACCCTGGCTGCCTCTCTGGGAGGCTTACAGGCTGTGCAGTCTGGGGGATAGAGAGCCTTCTGTGGGGGGTGTACAGCTCGCAGAGACGCTTGGAATATTCTTGCAGAAGCATCAACAGAAGATCAGCAGCAGCCATAAATGTGGATTGTTTACACCGGTCGGTCGAGCCGTTCCTGCTTCCCCGCCTCCCAGCGACTCCGAGCGGCCGACTGTGCTCAGCAGCGTAGCCGCAGATAGCGTCAGTGGAACGGGGCTGATGGCCCTGGTGCTCGGCCCGGCCTCCATCACCCTCAGCGTCTGCCCGTGAGACTCCTAGAGAGCTACAAAGCCACACCGCTACATCTAGTCGCCTCAAGTCCCGTGGGAAGAGCGGAGAAAGGAGAGGCGGAGCGGGGCTCAGCATCGCGCCGTGCATGGTGCTGCGGTGTCGGAGGGAGTGGATGTGCAGCCAGAGCTGACCCAGAGATGGCTGTTCTCAAACTGGCCGACCAGGTAGGACCAGCTAGCCAGTTAGCTTAGCTTCCAGACCTGCAGAAGCACAGTATTTCTCCTCCTGTGTGGTAGGAAAGTGTTTCAGTAGCACATGTTGTGCTATTTAGTTTTATACAGCCTAGAAAATAATAAAATAGATTCCTCCCCTACAGATTTGGCGCAGGACTCTATCAATAAATTAGCATAACACTAAAAAAAGAAAATGGCCTTATTATTTGTTGTAAATGTCGTTAAAATGGTGACAGCTCATCTGTCTCACATTTCCTGTTCTGTTTCCTCCTGTAAGCTGTTAATGTCTTCAGTAACTACTGTGTGGAAGTCAAAGTACCCGAGTATTTCCCAGGGAATGCCCCTAAGTTTGAAAACAATACTTTGAAGCTTTGTATTCTTGGACTTTGCTAAAATAGACTCGCACAGTTCACAGTTTTAAGTATGGATAACTGACTCTTTATGCATCCTCTCAGTGCAACCTGTCTGAATCAGGCTGCTTCAGCTCCTTCCTCTTTAAGGTCCCCTCCCTAAAAGTCCGCCTTCAAACCCATTGGCCAGTTTCTGAAATCCTGCAGAGCAGTAACACAGCCCATGTAAATTGTGTTGCTTCTACTTCTGGGCCATCTTTTGCCCATGAGATGACATTTAAAATCTTTTAAAAACACTCATATAAAATGTGCATTTTGGTGCACACAGTATAGTGTAATTAATCTGTAACTGACTTATTAAACTTGCTTCTTGGTAAAAATGACCGCAAAAGCCAAGTATGTCTTTTGTTCTTATAGATCCTGCTTTTCTTCTTATATAGTGCTTTTTGACTCTGTTCAGTGGTAAACTGTGAATTAATGATCTAGCTGATAATCAGAAGCTATTGTGCTCTCTAATTTACACTTTAAAGTATCCCAGTCTAACAGTCTTCAAATGTCTTTCTTTGTTAAACTACAAAATTTAAAGTTGTCTTTGAAAAAGCTAAAATCTTCGTTCAGTGGGTATTGTTTTTAAATTTTTCTTAAAGAAATTCTTCTTCTGTTTATTGACTGATTGTTTCACCTTGAACATGTCGAAGTGGAGCTTAGAGAATATTTTACTTTGAAGGAGATTTAATCAGACAATTATTATGTAGAATTCTGGCTGAAATATTTACTTCAGTATAATATTAAAATGATTTTAACCTGTCAATTTATTTGAAACTCAATTTTTCAACCACAGTGTTGATTTTTTTTCTTTTTTGTTTGAATTTAAAGTGCACAGACTAAATTTGAGGTTTGAATTATTAGTTGAAGTCATTCACAGCTATCAGTTTGGCTCTTGTTAATTTCAAGATATCAACAAATCGAGCAAATTCTTTTAGTCTTAAATTAAACAAACAACATATGAAACAAAAATAAAGCAAAAACAAAACAAACATACATAAATCAAAAACAAGAAATAAGCAAGCCCCACCACAGTATAGTTTCTTTCATATGAAAAATACAGAATGTGTAACTTTGCAGTTTCACAAGTTATGGAAAAACAAACAAACAGATAGACATCGTTCTTAAAGTTGTTCTAGCACTTTGTATTTTTAAATTCCATTTTCCTCTTAAGTTATACCCACCTTCTCTTTCTATGAACAATTTACAGATTTCTTTTGGAAGCAATTTATTTCTTACTTTATACATTATTTGCGGTGTTTTAAGCTGCACCAAGTCTTGGAATTTAATAGCTTGCATTTTGACAAAGAGTGCATTTGTATGGTCCCTGTACCCCACAATGAAAATGTTAAAATGCTTACTGACTGTATGTCAGCAGTGCTGTAATGTTTCAGATTCCTTGTGAAGGACCTCCAACTCAAAAAATTCAAATTGTCCCAAGGAGACATACTTGACATGATGTGTACAGTACTCTTCAGCAGAGGTTGACAAATAAGAATTTTTATTTAAACAAGTCATAAACAAGCAGCCCTAAAGGTGTTCAGAGAAATATAAATTTGAACATTTACATTTAAAACTCGGGCACAGTCTGCGACTGTTATGTTACTTTACAGTCACACACTGGTTAAAAAGTACAATTAGACAAACTGCTACAAAAAGAATCACAAAAGAGACAAAGAAACACTTAAAGGCTACAAAGAAACTTGTAACAGCTACAGGACACAATATTGCTACAAAGAGACACATGATGGCTGCACACAGACAACCAGCTACATATGGGCACAAAATGAAGAGATACACAGTGACTACAAAGATCTCTCTGTGGGCAGCAGCACAGATACACACCTCTCTGAGCAGATGTGAGCATGGAAGTGTAAAAGTACGTGATTTTGTAAATAAAAATACAAAAGCAACACCGCCTATTAAAACAGCACTTTGAGAATCACGACCCTCAGAGGTCCTTCTCACATTAAGATTTTTTTTCAAAGTTAACCGACTCAGCATCTCTCTGCAGAGCTCTCATGTGGCCATGTGTGATATGTCTTGAGGGAAGCAAGAGCTGCTGTCAGAGTGTGTGTGTGTGTGTGTGTCTGTGTGTATGACCTAGAAGTGTAGCACTTCCTGTTATTTTCAGACATGCTGATGATGCCTGATAACTGGATGCCTCAGACTTTTTTCTTTTCATCCCGGGCTTATCAACAGTGGGTACCATAACAATCCCACTGCTGTAACGTCTCTTTTAACTTGTGATCTGCTGAATTGATTCCGAGGTTGACGTCATGTCTAAAATTCCTCAGATGTGTTTGTGAATAAACATCAACTTTTTTTTCTCTCTCTCGTTTTTGTGCATGCGTGGAAATGAAAGACTCTGCGGGGTAAAAAAAAAAAACTAATCGCAGAACGCAAAGGAAGTACAGGAAGTCGTTGACTTCTGACTTTGTGCCAAAGCACAGTTATGTGTCTCTTGTAGATGTGCACACAATTTGAAGCAGGTGAAACATTGAGACCTCTTTAAAAATGACTGCAAACAGAAGGAAATGGGAACGATTTTGTCCTTTTCAAATACGTAATTGTTTGTGTTAAACTCAACTTTTAAAATGTTCTCAACTTTCTTTATAATTAGCCCCAAAGCATAGGATTGTCTTTACAAAGCTTGAGGAACGTTTCCAGGTAATTACAAGGACAAAACAAAACTTGTTACGCTTTCACTGTTTGAGGAAGTCTGAAGTGTGCCACTGAGCCTGAGGAGAAGAGACTGAGCCAGTATGAGGCCTGTTACCTCAGGCATCAGCGGAAATTAAGGCATTGTTGCAGAGCACATATATTTCAGGTTAGCCTGCTAGTGTGTTTGGAGGATGCCAGTGGAATGAAAACATTGGTAATCAGATGCATGATGTTTGTGCATTATAAGGTGGTGAGAGGATTGTACTGCACCGACCCAGAACCTCAGGTTCTAATAGCTGGTTCCACTCGGTTCTTGTTCACGATTAGTAAAATCAGTGTTCAGAAGTTCCCCCAAAAAACACATGTACTGAATGCTAATGACCCAGCTTGCTTTTAGAAGCAGCACTCCATTAGCTTAAACAGGATAGCATAAGCCAAAACATGTTAATGGTGGCTGATTGATGAATCTAAACTGGACAACATTAGTACATTAGTGAATGTATGAATATTGGTGTTTGTGAGATTTGTGTGCATAATTTGAACGTCACAGTTCACATACAGCAAAAGCTACTTAAAAAGTTACAAGCAGCTTCCAGGTCATCTTATGAACCGTAGCTGAGTTAGCCAAAACCATAGACACAATGTCACCCATTGATTGGTGAAATCTGTATCGACGTCTCAAGATGAGTGTTTCTGCTGTTGCAAAGAAATGGACGTACGAAGGATGAGCAGGTTTGACTGTGAAATTGCGTGCTCATTGGTTAATGACTCCTTATTGACAGCTTGTTACCCATGAGTTTGCGGTGTCTTCCCATCGATAATCCTCGATTTTGAATCATGGTACGAACAAGATTTTTTAAAAAAGGTCTTTTTCATCAGTATGATCACTGAGTGAGCTATTTTCTTGTAGACTTCTATAAGACTGGAAGTCGTCTTGCAACCACGTCTTTGGCCTTCACGTGGAATTTAGGTTTAAGGAACTTCCATCTTGGCTTCATTTTTGCACGTCCAACAAATAAAGCTCAGTGAATTTCCACGTCTTCTGCTGTTTATGGCCCAAACAGGGTTCTATTAATTACTGATTTAGACCAAAGAAAAATAAGGTCAGGTGCTTTCATAAATGTTAAGCTAACATTAGCCTTTGACAGCATTGCTACTCCACAAACAACAATGGCTCCTGACTAGTTACTAGTGTTAAAAACATCTCCCGCATCACTATAACCTGTTGTTGAATCCAGGCTTTGTGGAGGATTACGCCAGGTGTAGATGTCATAAAACAGTAACATTTAAGGAGATCAACATTGTCTTTTGTTTTTAATTTTAGTGAACGGAGAACCTTTAATGTATTTATTACAGAGTCATATGTGTTCTGCAGTCTCATTGGTTGCACACCTCAAAGTTGAGATAAGTTTATGGTAGGACAGTCCTACTTCAAGGCACTAGTGGTTTTGTTTTTTTTGCCCCTAGTCACTTGAAACTGCTGAACGTCACTGACTTTCTTTGGTCTGTAGTCACCACACTGCTGCAAATCTTTCCTTCCTTGACAGTACTTGCATTTTTTGACTTTTGTTCCTCTTTAACTTATCCCTCATCCTCTACCCATTTGCTAAATATCCCCATACGTGATCCTTGCGTCTGTATATCAATAAGTTTAAATACGTTTGGAAAAAAGGGCTGAAAACAACTTCTGTGCTGATTTCATTACATAACATTTTCCAAGTGAGTCGAGAACATGACCTTTTTAGGGACAGAATAGTCATTAACAGAAATCAGCACATACTTGGAAAAAAGTAGTAAAAATATTCATCAGTTTTCAGAGTTACTGCAAAACCTTTCTTCTAGTAGCTCTTGTGTGAGCACGTGTTTGATTTCTCTGATTTATAGAGTTTGGGCGTTTTAAACAGTTGACATACTTGAACTTGAGAATGGAAGAAGTGTGACTTTTATTTAAAATATATAATTATTAGATCCTTAACACAAAAAGTCATATGTTATGGCCAAATATGTTTGGCTGTTACCGGCAGGCTGACACTGCACGTTGAAGAGCATTTTCTCATTGTTATTGGTTACTAACGGGATGTTGGTCACATTGGTTCTGCCTTAAGGCTAATGGGAAGTGTGTGTGTGTTTGTGTTTGCGTGCGTGAATGTGTGCAAGCTGCAATAATGAGCTCCTGTGTTTGAAATAGCCTGTGGGGATGACATACCAGGAAGACTAGTGCAGAAAGCCAAGTCCTGATGTCATTTCCTGTCTAAACCTGTCTTCCTCAAGCTTCACTGCATTTCTCACTTAGCATTTCTCTGAGTTATTGGATTTATTTACTACAGTTCCCAACAGAGGACACTAGTTTTTCTACTAAGGTATTCCCCTGACACATCCTATGAATCGTTGCCTTCTTGTGGCAGTACCAGCCAACTCCTGAGAGATGCCAGCTGAGTGTTTTTGTTACAGCCACTAAGCATCGAGCTAAATATACCTATAATCCTGACTCCATCACTGCAACTTTGTGAGTGTGGGAACGAGCATAGATGAGGTCATTTGCATTATTGTGTGACTCTGTCGGTGTTACACATTAGATCTGATCTGAACTAGCAGCTTTAAACATTAGTGTGGTAGAAAAGCAACTCCTGTGTACTGCAAGTAAAAGTAACAGCTACAGTCCTGTGACATGCTGCGCACACGTGTCTGCCTTCACTCTCAGCAGTGAGTGAGATGATGGATGCTGCAGCAAAATTACATTCAGGGGAATGAAACGGTCAGATGAGGAAGAAGTGTTGTGGCGTGCTGTATTTTTAAAGCAGAAGTGAAAAACTTCTCTGTGGTTGGTTCCTCTCTCAGGTTTCTGAGAAGGAGAGACTGTGTAACAGGAAGTGAGGCAGGAGTAGCAGAAACGCACAGGAAGTGAAGTGAGGCCTCCCTCTGCTCAGCCTGGTTCATAAATAACACAATGAGCACAATCTACACATCATCTACATTTCGGTTTCAATTTTGCAAATTTTTAAATTGAGACATTTTGACTATATTTGTAATTGTGTTTTTAGTATTTTTTTTAAAGTAAAGGAGCTATATCTGTTTGTTTTCATGTTTTCAAATGGGAGCATTTGCTGTTGTCTTAAAAAAATCATTTTCTAAAAACTGGTAGTCCTTAGCATCCTGTTACTCTTGTTCCCCAATACAAATTTGCCGCCTTCAGAATATTAATAAATTATAAAAATAACAATAAAGAAACATATTTAGATATTAATGCTTAAAAAAAGTTGTAATGTAGTTGTAATGATATTAACCTGCTACTGATGTTGCTATGACAATGATATCATAGCAACATAACATAATAGCCTAAAAAAAAGAATTTTTAGCTCCTTTGCTAGCCTGAACAAGCTAACATCACCTGCTATTTTAGCCCAAATAGTATAACACCAGTGATAATGACTTTATTTTGTTTAGGTTATTGTACATTAGATATAATTCCCTAAACAAAATAAAGCTAGCTGATAATTGAATAGATTAAGCAGAATGAGATAAACTGAACCTAAACTGGATACATTACCTGCAATCCTCATAGGCTAAAGTAGAAAATAGAGGTACAGTTTTAAAAAAGTCATGAGTTTATGTAATGTCTGCGCATAGATCGTGATTGTGTTTCAGAATTGAATCCATGCTTGTTTAAAAACAGGTTAATCGTTAACAGAAATGTAATCAGGAAAAATGATATTCCCATACTTTGCTTCCAAAGAACCAGAACTTGTTCTAATTTGTCAAAATCTTCCTTTTCAGGGTTTTCCTTTGGCTGCTGTTTCACTCGTGACAATTTTGATAATGGTTTAGTCATTGTTAAGTTTATTTATTTATTTATTTAATACAAACATTTAAAGAACATATTTGGCTTTAATACTGTTTAGCAAAACCTGCATGAACCTGAACCTAAAAACTGGCCTTTAAGTCCGCCACATGTTGTCCCAGTTTTCTGTGTTTTTGCATTCCTCAAAAGCCTCTGATATCTGCTGTTTGGGCCTGTATTTACCTCACCTCTCTCATCCTGAAAAGAATAATAGGGGCATCGGAGACATAACCTCCACACTGAGCCCTTTTTTATTTTTGTGATGTGTATCTACCAAGAATTTTCCACAGTAGTTTCTCTGTCTCACAGAGAAACAGGAGATATAAGAAGTAAGGGAAGGCCTGCATTTCTTTTGTGTACAGTCTGCAGTTTTTGTACACGCTGCAGCTTTAAGTACTGCACACATAGGCAGCACTTCATACCGTGGGAAGGATCGTAGCCTTTTGTAACGTTCGTAGTGGTCACGTGACTGTGTTCTTTCTCATCCCCACAGCCTCCTCTCATCCAGGCAATCTTCAGTGGAGATTCTGAAGAGATCCGTATGCTCATATACAAGTCTGAAGACATCAATGCTCTGGTATGGTCACATGTACACCAAACAGGCATTCTGTCTCTGTGCATGTGAAACACTCACCTATTCATATTTTCCACAGAGCAGATGGTTTGTATTCACAAATAAACTGTATGCAGGTACTTACCTCACTGGCTGCTGCTGTGAAGTGGAGGAAGAGTGAGCTCTTTTTTTTTTTAGCACTTGGTTTCCACATTTATACACATGACAGATGTGTATAAGTGACACATGATAAAAAGCTCACCCTGCATGTGCTGAATTTATAAAGAATATCAATCTAATTTAAGTGGTTTCACCATAACTCTGTTCATCCAGGACACAAATATTCACACAAAGCACTTGTGCTCTCTCCATCGTCTGTAAGCGTGCATGTTTTAGTGCAGAAAAAGTTTCCATTGCCCAAAGTCAACTTTTAGGGAAATAAAACTGGACTCGGTGGCAACCATCTTTTTCTTCATTCCACCCCCACTTCCTGTTTTAGAATGAGGGAATTAGGGCTCCAAGTTAAGAATCAGTAAAACCAGAGTTCAGGGTGAGTGTTTATTTACACATCTGCTCATATGGGTATAAATACACAACACATGTCGGGGCTGTCCTCTCTGCTTATGTCAGCCCACTCAGCCAGTGTGATGGGCATTTATTCAATGAGACGCTTTGAGCACGAGGTCACTGATCCTCTACTCATCTGTGACCTCATACCAGCTGCATGAATGGAAATAGCACTGGATTTAAATACTTATAGATTTGGTTATCAGATCCATCTGTTGATGGTACGCTGTATGTTTGGTAAATGTAAACAGAGGCTTTCGTGTTTACAGGAAAATTCCACAGAGCGCTCTAAATGTTGCCGACCAGACTGGCTTTGCCTTCGAGAAATGCAGAACAACTACAAGGATGTACAAAAGAGCCACACATAGACAAAAAACACCCCCAAACAAACATAAAGACACATATAACTGCCACACAGAGACACAGAAACGACAACAAAGGGGCAACCCCCCCACGACAACAACCACAGAGACTCGATCAAACAGCCGCAAAGTCATACAAGCAGATAACAGAAACCATCACAGAGGGAAAATTGCCAGAAGACAATTAGGACTGTAACTGTGTGACATGTGCTCATATGTGGGAGGGTCACTTGTCTCATAACGCACCACTGTTCCTCCATCAGGATGCAGAGAAGCGCACTCCGCTGCATGCGGCAGCCTTCCTGGGCGATGGCGAGATCACCGAACTCCTCATCCTCTCGGGTAAAACACGCCACGTCTTTCTCGCAGATTTCAGCTGTTTTTGTTGTTGTTTTTTATTGAATGAATGTAGATGTGGAGCTTTATGACATTTAAAGCATCCCAGATAAAATACAGTTAGCTCATGTCCAATTTAAAAACAAACACACAAACAAACCCCTACATTGTTTTGATAATATTAAATTGCCTAAAACTTTACGTAGCCCGGCCACTAACGTCCTGACTGTCACAGAAGATTGTGGACGCCCTCAATATGCTTCATCATTTTCTGGTGAAAGTAATTACCGTATGGATGCATCTAAGGCTCATGTTAGTTGATGGAAGTGGAAGGCTTGTGTTTCCTGGAGCTGTGAGGAAATTTCCAGAGTGTAAACGTGAAGTTCCATCTTTTCCGTGTTTGCCATGCTGTGTTTCCGCTCTGCAGGGGCACGTGTCAACGCCAAAGATAACATGTGGCTGACCCCTCTCCATCGTGCTGTTGCATCTCGGAGTGAGGTAAAAACACACACACACACACACGGGCAGTGCAGTCAGGGAACCTCGGTGTGTTTTACATGAAAGCAGACAGATGACTTTTCTTTTTAGGTCTCAACCAGAACTCACACTGTTCTCCATCTTAAGGAATCTGGGTTACAGCAGTTCATTGGCTGCATAAATCCCATCCATACTGGTAATTCATCATAGCAGGACTAGCTGAAGGCTCCACTGGCTGTGTGCCCATTTATAGATATTCAGGTCGCACTTATTATCAGTGTGATGGCAAATTCTCGTCTAGTTTTTGTGTTTAAAATGTTTATATTAGCCAAGTTTATGATACCAAGCATCATGGTTTTATATGTACACGTTAAGAGTGGTTAGAGTCTTAGCAAGCTCTTGCTTATTAGACTGTATGTTTTTATGTGACAGATTAACTTTATTTTCAAATTCTGATCATTGTCTTTACATTTAAGTAGGGGTGCAACGATACACAAAATTCACGGTT